ACCCCACCCACCTCAACCACTCCTTTCTGATCTCTCGCTTTATCTCAGCGTGTGTATCAGCCTGCCTGCCTGCCTGCCTGCCTGCCTGCCTGCCTGCCTGCCTGCCTGCCTGCCTGCCTGCTTGTCTATCGTCTCCTCTGTCCCTTCGATCCTCTCGTCTTGTTTCCAGCTTACCAGCGACTTCTCTCAAGCTCTCCGCATGTTCCTGTGAACAAAACCTCATGGGCAAGAATCAAACGAACAAGGCGACTTTCACACACGTCAAGTCGACTTCTATCAGGGTGCGAACGACTTTCAATCCTCCTTACAGCCCTCTTGATCCTGAGCGAGTCATGTCAGCGTCTCCTCTCCCATCCTCCCTTTCCTTGTCTGGTTGTGGGAATGAGGAGGAGGAGAAGAAGGAACAACGGAGGAGGAGGAGGAGGAGGAGGAGGAGGAGGAGTGAACGTTTCCTGCTTCACATCCATCCCTCCCTCCTCTTCATCTTCTTCCTGGCGTACCTTTCGAACAGGTCTGCCATTTTGCTGCTGGAGACTGAAGAACGGGGGTTGGGGATGAGGGGGGTACTGAGTACCACCCCTCCAATCGACTTCCTTGTGGTAGGAAATTTGAATAATTGAGAGGGTGGGTGGGTATTTCAAAGGGGTGATGGTTTATCTATACACAAAGTAGCTCGAATGGTTACGAAGCAGCTGCGTGCTATGAACGCCTGGCCGGAGGAGCGAAGCGAGTCTGAGAGAAGAGAGTGAGAAAAGTCATGGCAGAGAGGAGGAGACGGTGAGCTAGGTAGAAGGAGGACAAGTCATGGCAGGGAGGAGGAGAGGGTGAGCTAGGTAGAAGGAGGACAAGTCATGACAGAGAGAAGGAGAGGATGAGCTAGGTAGAAGGAGGACAAGTCGAGCAGGAGGAGGAGAGGGTGAGCTAGGTAGAAGGAGGACAAGTCATGGCAGGGAGAGGAACACAGGTTGAGCAACGAAGAAAGATCAGGAAGGAGGCTGGTTTACTTCGCTGATGCCAGGGATTTTCCTTTCGTTTCCAGTCCCCTCGGGTTCATGGTCCAGACTGTTTCCAACAGGGTGAGGAGGGAGCAGGGAGGGAGCGGGAGCAGCAACATACCTCGAGAGAGGATGAACAGAACTGAGCACCTTGAGATCCCCGTCTAAACCGGCATCAAGGATGAACTTGGAGGACCTGGGAGGTCATGGTCAGGAGGAGGAGGACGTCAGGAGCAGCCGCTGTACCTAGACTTCATTACGAAGCCAGCCCGTTGCAGGGCGAACTCTCGCTCGACGAGGAACTGCTGTCTTGTCAGGGGTGGAGGGCAAACAAGATTTGTGTACCTCTTGCTGTACTCCGATGACAGACCCTGGGCGAGCCAGACGCATCCACCCGATAGCCTCACGGGCAGTGAATCCACGGAAAGCAATGAGGTAGGCCGCTGAAAGTCCATGTGAGGAGGAGGAGGAGCAGGAGGAGCAAGAGGTAGTGGTGTTGGAGGTGGAGGTGGTGAAGGAGGGCAGCACCTATCATGGTGCCCGTCCTTCCTAGCCCATTGTCGCAGTGGACAGCAACGAGTCCATCGGCGAGCTCAACGGCTTGCAGGAAGCGATGTAGGATGTGGGTGGAGGGAACAGCATTGTCTTCGAGGAAGATGTCAACGACCTTGATGCCGTTCTCCTGCCGATGAATCAGAACGAGGGCCAAGGAGAGGTGTGTTAGGGAGGAGGCGAAGAGAGGAGAGGGGAACAGGAGAGGGAGAGAAGACGAGGGGAGGAGAGAAGAGACGAGGGGAGGAGAGAAGAGATGAGGGGAGGAGAGAGGAGCTACCTCGAACGTCTCCTTGTCGTACTTGGGCCCATTGAGCCGGATGACACACTTCACATCCATCTCCTTGAAGACATCAACGAAGAACCTCGGATGGAACTGGCTCGCATCGTCAGAGGAGGACCGGCAGGTTGTAGACGGCTCACCATCCTGACATAGTTCTCATCAAACCAGTCTCGGTTGTGCATGTGATCCACAGGCCCCTGGACCTTCAAGTGAGCATGTGGACAGGGAGGGAGGAGCGGAGAGGGAGGAGGAGCAGAGGGGAAGGAGGAGCAGAGAGGGAGGAGGAGCAGAAAGGGAGGAGGAGCGGAGAGGGAGGAGGCTAGACCTTGAATGCGATGAGCTTGTCCGGGATGATGCGATGCAGGTCACCGTTGCAAGGGTCGTCATAGTGATCGTACTCCTGACAAGAGAGCTTAGAAGGAGCTTCGGTATCCATCAACGTCTCGTCTTACCTCGCAGTCAAAGCCCTCATGCTCTGAGCCACCCACACTGAACCATCCTTGCTTCTGCATGCTCTGTAAGCTTGCTCCCAACACTAGCACTGGTTCTCACCATGGCCTTCGCTAGCCCCGCCCACACGTCCTCCACTGAGATGGTGAAGGAGGTCGGCAAGTAGGTAGCTGTACAGGACAGTCACACCCTTGCACATGTCGACAGGAGATCTCACCGTCATGGTATGGAAGCAAGTTTCTTGTTTCCTCGTTGAGCTCTTCGGAGAACACGTTGTCGGGCTCTGAGATCCCCTCTACGATCTGCATGACGTCAGCCAACCTCGGTCACTTCGAGCATGTATGCTCACCAGGTACGCTCCGATCATCATGACGGCGTTGGTTACCACTTGCATGTCCGGTGCACACCTCAACACGATCCACTGAACCAGAACCGTCAGAGGCTGCGAAACGATACAAGAGCTGTGATGCAAACCTGATCCGGATGGCGCTCGAGAACTGTGTTGAGGTGGACGACAAAGTGGTGGATGGAGCTGAAGAAGGCGTACAACATCACTTGAGACATCATGTAGGCCTTGACGCCAGTACCCAAGATTGACGGGGCCAAAGTCGTAGGCGAACGGGTAGTACACCAGGAAATTTTCCATGTCGACGAAGACAAGGCTGCAGGATGAGCATGACATGGAGACCACACGAGGAAGAGGAGCTTCACCTGTCATCTTCGTTGCTCGGAGGGATCGAGCAGCCCACGAAGGAAATCCGGTCTGCGATCGGAATCCTGTGGCATTGATGATCGTCATCCACCAGGAGACAAGGACATGCTCGGATCACATGTTGCCGGAGAGCCAGAAAGGTCTCGGGCGCGAGCTGCACGTTTCGATGTCGACTTCATCGGCTGCGCTTGGGGTCAAACAGGCTCGATGTACAAGGCACGGACAGCACCTTCGGCGATGTCGTCCAGGAAGAAATCTTCCGAAGAGACTTTGAATCTGCCGGAACCAGAGCTGAACTCTCGCTTCATGGTGCTTGACACGACAGGAAGAGCTTGTTTGCTGGAGTGTTGCCAGAGAGGAGCTGGGGGAGGCAGGGAGCGGAGGTGTGAACAGAGTGTAGATTGGTGAAAACAGGAGCTGGCGTGTAAGGGCAAGGTGCAGGAGGAGCAAAAGGGCGACGAGCAACGAGGGGAGGACGAGCCGCTTGCTCGGGTCCCAAGGGCACAGGATCCTTTTGAGGCCGCAACTGCGGAGAGTTTACAGGGACCAGTTTAAAAGGACTAGTAAAAAACAGTACCGAGTTTACAACAGCCTCCGACTGTTCCCTAGTGGGCTAAAGAGGGGGAGAGGGGTGGGGGGTGGGGGTGGGGTGGTCAAACCGAAAGAGTCGCACTATAAAGAGGCGCAGGTCCTGTGCATTGAAGCCACTTTGATGACATCTATTTGTATTTTATAATCCAGGCTATAACTTATTTAAATGTCAGCCGGTATCCACAGCCCTAACGGCCGACTGGCAACTTTTACCCTTCAGGCCCGGAGCTGCGCCGGGCCTCGGGCCCGGACTCAGTCACGGCAGTCAGACCTTGCTCACTGACCTGTGGTCCGGTCTATAGAGGTCGGAAGTCAGTCAGGTTATGAGTCCTCACTGGCGGATGAGTCTCGTGATCACGGACCATGTGGCCGATTGATTCGGAGCGAGGAGCCGAAACGTTGCTAATTTTGATCGTTTCGAGCATACTGAGATATCCGGATACAAAATCTTTGGAAAAACTCCTTTACGAAGATGTTTAAAACTACCTTTGTAATCTCTTGTACCAGTGGACCCCTACAGGCTGCGAGGGTTAAAATATCTTTTTGTTGTGCTACCCCCGTAACAAAAATGAGGACCACGGGGTAGAGTTTTTATGCTGTGATAGGGGGGTAGGGGTGGTGTCAAGGGTACCTTCTTCTGTGAGCTTTTGAGGGGTCAAACAGACCAGCAAACGTAGATGTCCTAGAATTATCTGGGGGTGGGGTGGTGCTACCTGTTCTCTGGGGGGTGGGGTGTTCTATGTTGACGAAGAGGCTGTAGGGACGCAAGTCCGAAAATGTGTAGTAATCGTGCTTGTATGCGGATACCAGAACATTAGGGAGGGGTAGGGTACTCAGATGACCGGTGGGTAGCAGACTGGCCGACTCCAAAACGGGCAAAGTAGGGAATGGGTGGTTCAAGGTAGGGTACTTTGTGGTCTTTGGGTGGGTGGTTTTCACAGGGGGGAAAAATGGGGTGGTATGACAAACTCTTCAGGAAAGCGGGTAGGGTGGTGGAGAACGTTTTACTGTCACGGGTCATGAGGCTAGGAAAAGTTGGAGTGGATGAGCAGGGGGTAGGGTGGAGCAAATCACGGCTGGAGGGTGATAGGTCAGGAGAATATGGGGGTACTCAGAGGTGAAAAGTAGGGTGGGTTATGGATTGCTCATCAACCGATGGGGTTCTTGGGTATGGGGGGTGGGCACTGTGGCAAGAAGCAAAAGATGGACTGACACAAGCTCGTGATGAGCGAAGCGAAGGAGAGAGGGGAGAGAGGAGAGAGGAGAGAGGAGAGAGAAGAGAGAGGGGAGAGGAGAGGGGAGAGAGAAGAGGGGAGAGAGGGGAGAGGGGAGAGGGGAGAGGAACAGGAGCAGGAGCAGGAGCAGGAGGAGAAGGGGGAGCAGGGGGATCAGGAAGAGAGGGAACATAGGAGAGGAGCAGGAACAGGATGAGAATGAGTTTGTAGAGAAATATGAGCGATGAATGATGAGAAGAGGAGGAAGAATAGAATACAAAGCAGCCACAGGCAAGGAGGATTCGAGAGGACTGACAGGGTGGGAAGCCGTGATGGGAAATAGTGAGCATTGATCGGACACCAGATTTTGCGATTTGATAGTGACGATGTTCTCCCACGTTATGTTTTGGAGAAGATGTGATATAATTTGATGGCGATTTCATTTGATGATGCAAATCATTATGGATGAGCTGAGTAGCAAGGCGAGCAGGGTGTGAAGGAGGTTATGTGCTCAGGCTGGTCGAGTACAAGATTTAACGCCTGATAAAATAGAAGTTGAGATCTCTGCTTTGATGCGCGTCTGCTCCCAACCCTGATCGTCCCAACTCTGAATTTCTCGTGTGCAAACAGAACCATGGATACGTTCTATTGCGGGAACAGAATTTCTTCCAGCCATGTGGCCGACAAGATCATGTCCACCTACGATGATGAAGACGAGTGCGAGAACGAGAGGAGAGGGTCCGTTCATGGTAACGCTCCCTCTCATGGCTACTACGGTCTGTGAGCACAGGGCTGAAACTTGTTGCAGGAATGGGCGACGAGGAATTGATCGAGCTGCTGGACAAAATGGTCATGGACGAGAAGGCCAGGGAAAGCTCCTCGAACCTCTTCACTGACGCCATGTGCGCGATCGGAGAGTCGAGCTGGGCCTGTGCTGACCTGGTCGCAGATACGAGGTTGCTGCAGACATCTCCATGATCGTCTGCGAGAAAGTTCCAGCGGAGTACCAGACCGACAGGTATGGCGGCGCTTGTTCGTGCGCGAGCATTCTAACGTGAGCATGCAGGTACTACTTCCTGGACATGGAGCAACACCTCGTCTACTTCCCATACGCGTACGACTTCGGTCCTGTGAACCTCAGGTTCTCCTCCTCCCTGCTCCTGCTGGGCCCTGTGGGCTGATGTGAACCCGCAGCGTGATAGCTCGATTCTGCAAGCACCTCACCGAGGTCCTGCAAGAGCATCCTGACAAGGTGAGAGGTGGAGATGAGCTGGAGTGTGGGGCTGACTTGCTGCGGTTGCAAGATCGTGGTCCTTCGCTCCCCCCCCGACAGGCACTCCAGCACCAACACCACGTTCTTGCTCGGTTGCTTCCTGGTAACGTGCAGCTGCTGGTTCGCTGCGGAGGTTGACGGGGGCTGGCAGGTGCTCGAGCGCGAGCATGAGAGCGACGGGTTGACGATGCCGCACTTCAAGCTGCCTGCAAGTCACATCAAGTCCTTCCGTGATGGTTCGTTGCTCTATCCCCCGCCCACGCTCCGCTGATCCGCTACTGCAGCCTCCTTCCTCCAAACTAAGTTCGAGCTGACGCTACGGGACGTGTGGCAGGGCCTTGAGAAGGCTCAGGTGAGCATGGAGGGAGGGAGAGGAGGGAGGGAGGGAGACAAGGAGAGGGAGGGGGCGGGGAACAAGCAAGCTGACGCTCCTCTTTCCTCGTGCAGAGACAAGGATGGATTAGCCCCGACAGCTTCGACCTGGAGGTTTCACTTGCTGTCAGCCTGCGTGCGAGCTGACGATGAGGATAGGAGTACGAGCACTACGACGACCCGCACAACGGCGACATGCACGTCATCATCCCAAAGAAGCTTGTTGCCCTGAAGGTAGAGGAGCGAGGGAGAGGAGAGAGGAAGGAGGAGGAGGAGGAGGAGGAGGTTGACGAGGACATCAGGGGCCGGTGGACAAGCTTGCAAACGATGCGGACTGGCAGGACGAAGGATCAGTACGATTGGTAGGAAGCGAATCTGATGGAGGGTGCGGGGCTGACGGGTCGTTAGTTTCATCCTCGGTTCTACTTAGAGACGGTTCAAGGAGATGGGGGTCAAGTGCATTATTCGTCTCAACGAGGAGAAGTACGACCCGATCATCTTCACGGTAAGGAGGAAGAGGAGGAGCGAGGGGAGGAGTGGGAGTGAGGTGGGTGAGGGGATGAGATGAGTTGGAGGAGGAGAGCGGGAGGGAGAAGGGAGGAAAAGGAGTGGGGAGGGAATGTGGAGGAGAGGGATGAAGAGGAAGCGGAGGTAATGTGTCTTGATGTGTGCGAGCAGGACAACGGGATCGAGGTGGTGGACCTCTACTTCGAAGACTGTCCTGTCCCTCCTTCTCAGATCGTCTTCCGCTTCATCAAGATGGTCGAGAGCACGGATGGGATGGTGGCTGTGCACTGCGACACGGGGCTGGGACGCACTGGGACGCTGATCGGTAAGTGCAGAGCGAAGAGGCAGGAAGAGAGAAGGGCAGGAGATAGAGAAAGAGAGTTTGAGGGGAGAGAGCGCCAGGGGGGGGGGGAGAGGAGGAGGAGGAGGAGGAGGAGGAGGAGGAGGAGGAGGAGGAGGAGGAGGAGGAGGAGGAGGAGGAGGAGGAGGAGGAGGAGTAGTAGTATGTTACCGAGGAGCCAGGAACATACCTCATGAGCATCTTACGAATTCACAGCAAGGGGAAGCCCATTGGATGGATCCGTGTAGTTCGCCCGGGCCTCCATCATAGGGAGTACAACAACAAGGTTACCTTTCTCCTCCTCTCCCCTCTCTTCCTGGCCCTCTCCTCCCCCGTCTCATTCTTTTCTCGATTCTTCCCTCCTCTACTCTACTC